CTTATCGGCATTCTTTATTGTTCTTTTTCTTAAGAAAGATAAAGAGACGGGAATTCCAAAATCACATCTCGTTTGCCGCGCAGTCGACGTTTCCTTTCACCATCGGCCATGATACGGAGCAGACACTTAGCATTCTCTCCTAGAGATCTCAATGCGGCCGGTGTCTTTTTTTCCGCTCGATCGGCCCGTTAATTCGTTACCGACGTTTAATTCCGCGCGTTTATCTATGCAATTAGCGCGCAGCTATATCCTCGAGCATATCGAATCGAATCGCGTTATCGGCAATTGACATCGACAAAAATTTAATCGCCGTGAAACCCATTTGAAATCAAGCGCCGACAATTGATGACATTGTAATTTAAAAGCAATTACTCAGGAATATTATATGAGATGTCTCTGATTGTTCATTAATGAGATTGATCATTATATGAGATGTCTCTGAGAGTTGCTAGCTCGACTAGCTCGAACGAAAGTCTACTGCCGAATTATGTTATCGCTAACTGACTGTTATCGGTAACCGATGAAATTACAGTTTCCAAGAAACTTTTCTTTCCAAATGAGATGTCAAATTTTCTCTAATTTCTCCTTTGTTCTCAGATGCACATGGACGTATAATAACAAATGGCAATATAATAAGCAATGGCAATATAATGAGTATCACTTCTCAAAATGGTATATCGAAAATAGTCATGTCCGGTCGTACACCAGATGGAGAACCGTACGTGCGCATTATCGAAGAACGACACGAAGGGAATGTTCTTTATCACAGCGAAACTACTTCCAATCCAAAAACAGGTGCCACTGAGAGCATTCGCTGGAAATTGGACCTCGCAACTCCAGGCGCCAAGCCTGAGATTCTGACGGATGAGAAATAAAAAATATGCTTTTATTATTATACCCTGTATTACGTTGCATCACTTGCTTTGCTTAACTTTTATATAAAAGAATTATTGCTTAATTTATAACAAACTTGAAAAAAAAAAAGAATGATAAAGTTATAATTGTGAAGTGTTGATAGATAATAAAATAGATAGTAGGAGGAATTACAAGTTTCAATTGTAGAATGTTTTTGAATTTTTATTCTTTGGAATCCGGCAGAAAAATATGTTTTCTTTGCCATCCTGGCGTTAAGAAGATACTATTACGTCGAAATATGTTTGATAAGCGTGCAGCTTTGCACGCTTCTCGGAATATCGTTATCTCTCAGACGAGAACGCAGACCGATCGTAAAGTGCGACAATAAAATCATGAGTTATGCGGTGGGGAAAGTCACACAATTATCGAGTTGCGCAAACTGACGAAGCGGAGGAAGCGACGAATTTTTAATTACGATTTTGAGGAGGGAGCTTGGGATAGTAAATTTTAATTAAAAGAATATGCATTAAAATTATCAACTTTACGGGACTAATCAATAACCATTTATTGGAGTTTCCTATTACGTGTATTCAGCTGAATGAAGCAGTGGTGACAAAAATTTTCCCAATTATACTTCACTATCGAATATGGCTTTTCTTGAATAATAATAAATTACTACTAACGTTTTTTTTATATTTTTCTTAGTAAAATTAATTATTGTAATAAAACGTGGCATATTATTATTTTATTTCTTTCAACCACGCAGTAACAATGTTATTTAAAAGTTTAACAATTGTGACGTAAAAGAATAATATATATTATTTTCACTATCACGCATTTTATGTTAAAAGAATAATAAACAAACATAAACAGTTTACGTGACGGTGATACATGATTGATGCGTTTTAACGCGTTTTATGTCCGTTTATAAAAATGTTGTAAATGTTAAAATCATTATGTGTGTTCGTAAAACGTACGAAAACTTATCGTTTAACCATTATAAAATACGAAGTGGCCAAAAAGGCGGTCGTTTCAATTGGGCAAGGCGAAGAAAAGTGATGAATAAAAAACAGGCATAAATTTGCGAGAAAGAGGTTTGACCAATAAAGAATCATTTGTTACGATATACGACTACGAAATTTTCAGGAAGACATGGGTGGATACCGTTCGTGTTTCGACGCATATGCAGAATATATGTACGAACGTGATACAAACGCAATATACATGTATATATCTTTTTTTTCATGCAATGGCGTCGATGCAATTCTATCGAACAATAAAATGTTATTCAACGCATAATTATACTTATAAGTGCCATTATCAGTAACGATAAAAATATATGCATGTTCATATTTGTGATATTTCTGCAGCTCTTTCGTGAGGACGTTTTATTTTAACGTAACTGCAGCATTCATTAACATATTTATAGAATTTTTTAATATGCTCGTTAAATGTCGTTAAAGGCTGCAAAAACATCAACAGCATTATTTTCCTTCGCGTTTTGCCATAAAGTAACATTCATCACGACGCAATTTTTCACGATTTTATTTTCATGTAAATGAAATCTGGCGCTAAGTTCATTTCCTAGGTGAGCAAAAATACGTGAATTTGGCGACATTGAAAGCAGAGAATTGCAAAAATTATGAGAAATAAAATTATGAAAGCAGCAAAATGAAACACATCCTGAAGAGATATGTATCTTGCTCGTAAATATTGGGTTACTCGAATAAAAATGAATAAAAACGAAAGTTACAGCGGTTTTATGAGCGTGGAAGGCGAGCTTTCGAGGTGATACGTACTTTCTTCCCACTTTCTTCCCTTTCGCCGTTCGCTTCTACGCCCTTGCCGATAGAATTTACATACGCATACAAAGGGATACGTAATACGAGACTCTCTACGCGCTTCGGAAAGGGATACTCCCACATGAGTTTGGTACGTGCGAGATCGCTCGGTCGGTTTTCGGTCTTTCTTTTTTAATGGATGCGGGATTATTGTCTACGCGTGACCACGAAACTCGTGGGCGTAAAATGGAAGGGACTGTCGTACATCAGTTATAGCCCTTGAAATTTGATTACCTTGTAATATAGAAAATAGTGAAACTGTAAACGTGCACTGATAGAGACGTATATATACACATTTAACTGATCTCTTCGTCATCTTTTCTTTAAAATAAATGTTCCGGAAAAATACTCGTAACAGAATCGATTGATATGAGTGAATTAGAACTTCTGCTTTCATTTAAAATAATCTATCTGAATATGATAATTTAAATGTATAACAATTTGGAGATAATTTTTATTGAAATTATTATTATGGCGCGATTGTTGTTCATTTTCACATCTTTTTCTTGTGAGAAAGATATAGAATTAATCAAAATATTTAGCTTACATTATAATCTTTGAAAATTTATTTATTCTTTTCTAAAGAATTTGAAACATTTGTGACATTATAAATGAAAAATTGTTCAATTAAAACATTTTACCTTCTTCCTTCCCTTCATCGTTCGTTCACGTAATTTCCTCGTGGACGGTCGAACAACTAAATGCGTGTCCTCGGGCGATGTACAAAATAAATATTCTTTCACCTTGCACATCGACAATATATTTCTGCCGTGAGCGAAACGCACGGTTTTCGAAGCGAAACTTCTGTTTTCCTAATCAAATTGAGTGCTTTTAAATAGCCAGCGAATAGAATCGGGATCGCGAGATACAGAGGTTGTTATTCGAAAAGCCATGCTCACGAGATACGCGCGAGTATTATTTTTGTATTTTACTTCTTTTTTAGCGCATTCTTAAAGTTAAAGTTTCACGGTTAAATTATTAAAATGCATGACTCTCGCGGAAGCTCGACGAGATGAGATCTTTACAGCGGGAACATCTCGTTAGGGATGTTAATTTGTCAGGGCCGGTGACACAGGGATTTCAAAATACGTTGTTACAGATGGTAATCGTCGGAAGGACATAGAAGAGTTCTCCCGGTGCGATAACGGAAGCATCGAGACGAAAGGAGAAGCAGAGAGAGAGAGAGAGAGAGAGAAAGGAACGCGCGAGTCAACGGAATCCTGATTTACGAACAGGTATGGAATCCATAGGAAGTACTTTTTTTTTCAGTACAGAAAAAGGGTTTCCTAGAAGAAGCAACGTTTAAAATATGGCTCCCGCCATTGTGATATAAACGCCGTAAGAATCGCCGTCGCTTTGTCCTTGTCTTGTTTAACACGAGAAAATATACGGAGACTTCACATATGAAAATTTTTTTATTTATTTTTTTATTATTTTAATACCTGGAAATAAGATGAAGAGAAATAGCACTATCTTAATGCTTATGTATGATCTTCAATTTTTCTCATTTAACGCGTTTAATAACGCACATAGATATTATTTGATAAAACTGTTTTAATAAGATCTTGTAAACTGTCTCTTACATAACATAGCTCAACAGCAAAGGAGCTGTGATCTAATTGCTGATAAGATAGTTTTCTACTTGCGCCGATTTCAGAATCACTCTCATCGCTACGATTACGCGATAATGAGTCGGTCGATGTCTTCATTCCATGTGACTTTTTACATCAAAATGCCACGATAACGGCACTAATTACTACGGAGATAGGGTAAAGATATTTACGTGTTCTTCTTCCCCATATGCACACACACACACACCATATCTCCCCCCCTCCCACACACACACACACACACACACACACACACACACACACACACACACACACACACACACACACATACACGTGTTGCGAGTGCAAGGTGATCTGGTCTCGGAAGTAATAACGCGATTGTCCTCCTTTTTTGGCCCCCCTTTATATCTTCGGCCCAAAGTGGCAAAGTTTTTCGAAATTTCATCTGGACTCGCGTCTCCATCGCTATATTAATTTCTACTTTATATGCCGATTGCAACGGCATGCTACGAACCGTAGCATGAACGCGCGTCCCGTAACTCATCGGAAATTATGTGGCGCGCTTCGATATTTCGTTACTTTACGAGGGTGCAGCCTCGGCACTCCTTCTTCTGTTCTTCCTCTCTATCTTTCCATTTCACGTTGAGCTTTTCGGATCATGCGCGAGTGGATTTCGAAGATTGGATGCGCTCAGAAATTGAAGAACATGAGATTTCGAGTAGATTTTCGATTACCAATTCTGTAAACGCAAAAATATACAACGATAAAGAACGAACGCAAATATTTTTACATTTTTAATTTATTTATTTATTAAATCTGTCAAAATTTTTATTTATCGGAATCGTAATCACATTAAAAAAATTTGACCGAAATATTCTTACCTTCATTTGTCCATAAAATGGTAAAGTAGTTTCTCCGACGAATAATTTCTGTGAAAAATGCTATGAAACAATGCTATGAAAATCTCAGATTTATTGGTTGCGACATATATATATATATATATCTGATAATCTCGCCACCCGATATTTCTCCCGCTTATTAACGCCGTCGCTATTATCGGAGGTCCGTACGCGCTCGGTCGTATTTTTCGCGATTTTATCACCGCGCGCTCCTTTACGGTAATTTAAGCGTCGTCCGCGGAAAACACACGCAAAATACAAGGCAGTAACCCAATGCGGTTCCCGTGAACGAGCGAAGTCCCGGACGATCTTCTCGCGGGTCCCAACACAGAGTTTCACTCGCGCTGAGTGGCTACCAACTTAATTTCTACTTTATATACCAATTATGCCATCTCGAAGCGCACGACTACGCGATACGATACGCGGCCGTTCACTTCGTAACTTCTCGCGAATTATGATCGGCATTACCGCTTCGACGTCTCGTTAGTTTACGAGGCAAGCGAGTCCTCTGGCCTCCCTGGTCAACTTCGATCGCACTTTCCCGATTCGCCCGCGGCCCCTCGTGTCGTGTGGACGTTTCGTTTACCGTTTCGAAGCGTGACTAGGATGGTTTTGGCCATTAGGTACTAATATACTGCCATAGGATGTACGAGCTTGGTTTTTAATTTAAAAAAGTGATAAACAGACTCATTTGCTTCGAGACATTGAAAGCCCCAATGTCAAGTTTTAATAAACTCCTTATTAAATTTATCATTACCTTTCACAATTTCATAGTTTACAATTGTCGTCGTTTATAGGTTTCAAAAGATGTAACATCATTTCGCGTAGTAAATTAAGCTCTGAAATAGAAATAGAGAAAGTTCACCCTTCTAAAATGTTTCTTGCCAGAGAATTAAGTCTAGAGTTATATATTTCAAACCGTACATTCTGATATATTTGATCCTGGAGTAAATATAATGTAAAATATAAATTCTTTAAAGCGCGAAAAGATTTTAAAATGACATATCATGTCGAGCTATCGAGGGGTAAAAATATCGTAGGGAAAATTGGTGAATCCCAGCGATTTTCTACGCGAAAATAGACAAGTTTACGCGTCGCAAGAAAACAAACTGCTTTTTTTTTAATAAACCATAATCTCGAGGGTGTCTTCTTTCCATTAGATATCTTCTTATCTATGATGACACAATGGAGATATAAACTTCCGAGTTAGAATATTCACCGAGCGGCACCGATTTTACGGCTTATGGCTTTACTTCTTTACGACCTCTTATTTCCAAGGGACATTTTACATTTAAGCGACATTTCGTACTTGCATTTATATCTATTCCCTTGTATTATTCTTTGAAATAAGTTATCGCAAGTAAAATTTACTGATAAAAATAATTTAAAGTTGTAAACAAGTTTGCTAAAAATATTTTTTAATTTAACATGAGAGTGTAAAGCAATCTATCTTTATCTTTATCTTCTATCGAGCAATTCTTTTTGCGTATAAATCTGAGAATAATTTATTTTTCGATATTTCATCACGTAGTGATCAGATCTATTCTTTTAATTACATTTTTTATTATTTATAATGCCGAATTTTTCAAGGAAAATAAAGGTATTACAAATTTAATTTTCTTTGAATAAATTTAGCTGTATATTCTGTATTTCTATCTGACACCGTTTAATTAAAGTATTACGACAAATTCCATTCTCCTATTAAACAACCTTTTACACTTTGTAAATATTTAAGACATCTCTTAATTAAAATTGAATAAAAATTATAGGGAGGAAACAAGAATTAGATTCAAAAGGACGTTTTTCTTTTCTAAGAAACCTATAAAACGACTTTTCATCTTGTTATCCGCATTTTAGTTTGCGTTTAATTATCATTAGAATCGAAAAGACGGGGGTGACAGGTAGAAACCCAAATCTCGTTAGCGCGTGCTTCCCTTTCTCGTTTATTATTCCATCTTCCCTGTTTCGCCCTTTAATCTCCGAATGCGTGCGATGGTTCTTAGGAATTCCCTGATTACCTTTCATATTAACCAAGATGAAACATTTCTAATGTCTCGTAAATTTCAAACATATCTCTAATTCACTTATCTTTAATTACGTTTTGCAATTAGTTGTTAGGAATTTTATCCTTAAATAATATGAGATATAATTGTATCTTCATATAAAAGTAACATAATTATCGTCGTTATCGCAGTAATATTTTATATTTTCATCATCGCAATTATTTGTCGCCAATCTGACAAATAAATAATAATAATGTTGTCATGCTATGTGTACATAAATATAGTATTTTTTAAATATTAGTACTGTAAAATATTATAATTCTCCATTATTATGATAATCTGCGCTATGTTTAATTATTGTATTAGCATTTCTCATTTAGTTTACCGCTTGAGCAAAACTTCGTATCTTCCCCTCTCAAAGATATGGAAATATATGGCGTAGAGGAGATTCTGTTTAGGAGGTAGATAAACGGCGTGCAAAGTATCTCGCGATTATGCGTGCCAAAGTGACGCACCGAGCAGAAAGGGATATGTACAGGATACCTTAAATGGTGATGCCCCGGGCTTTTGCCCCCGAATCGCGATCTCTCCGGATTTCACTCTGTCTCTTTCTCCTTCTCATCTTCCATCATTCTCCATCATTCTAGATACACGCGCGCACTTTGCGTCTCCCGTTTCTTCTTACGGCGGCTATCAAGCAACGTAAACGTATCTCATGATCGAATATCTTCGAAGAAAGATCGTAAAGTCGGTACGTGACGCCGAGGAATTGGATTGTCATCGCGCTAACTTCTTTGCGTGTTATTTTTAACATGTCCATCGACACCTGCTTTGACCGATCATAGTAATAGTCATTCCTTACTCAGTAGTTCCTTAATCTTTTCATTGCCACTGTTCACTTTTCATTCACAGCAAAGATATTACTAAATAATAACACATATATGTATATAAAAGTGATAATGTGACAGATTCTCATCAAATTTTCAATGTAATCATGTTATAAGCATCTCTTTATACACATACATTATACACATACATAATACACATAAATTTATAACGTATAATACATCCATCTTCTTTCAAAATCGTGAGAGACTATGTGATGTCAAATTAATCTTACTCACAAACAGATTGGGACGGAAATCTTAAACTCTCGATCTTAAATGAAAGGTCTCGAGGCAAATTTGAATAATTGATAATTTTCACCAGTGACTTCAATGTTGGCATTTAAATTTTTGATCTTATTTCTCTTTTAATTCTTTTGTAGTTACGTAAACTCTGTTACAAAAATATACGTTGTATATATAATGAACGTTCTGAAAAAGTCACGGTGTCCCCTTTTCCCATGTAAAGTCGTTTTGTGGCGAGCCAATTTTGTTTGCACGCGAACCTTACGTGAGGCCTTGTGAAATGCGGGATTTCTGCCACGAAGGACCATATTCGAGTAATAACGTCCTTTTCAGCATCGAAGTGCAGCACCGAAGATGTCGATTCTGGAACGCGAGTGACGAATTTACTGTTAAACGCACAATGCATTAAACCCGGAAACTCGGGGACTCGAAGTCGAACATTTTTTGCGTACAATTGAACGCACAATGCAGATGGCACGCTTTTCTAATGTTGAAAAATTATTTTATTAGACTTTATCATTCAAGTGTAAGATACAAACATTTCTCTTCAAAAAATTTAATCATATTTTTCTCTCATTCATTATGATATGACGATTCGCTTTATAGCGAGTTTTATACCACTAATTTCTCGCTATAAAGATGTAGATTTAATTCTACTTATTTTTTAGAAAGAACAAAATAATGTAATTTTATGTAGAATTTTAAGTAATTAAATTTTTCAACGTATCTTGCATATTTCTCATTCTATTAATTTAACTTCCAAATTTCTTTTTACATCCACTTACATTTGTCGAATAAAAGAATTACGGAGAATTCTTATTCAGAAAAGGAAAAAGGATGCCAAACGAGCGTAACCCGTTATTGGCAAAGTCGACTGTGAGTTACATCTCATTCGGAAACGATCAATGATGCGTGCATAAATAGGTAGCCAACATGCGTAAAATGCCGGAGCGCGCTTCTCTCAATCCCAGCTGAGTCGTGTTCTTCCCCTTCGGCGAAATGGTATGGACGTCATTAAGAAATCCCTAAGTGGTCCATATCTACATTAAGCTGGAACGTATCAACATTTTATTTATATCTAAGTAAAGCCCGCGTGTTGCGAAGTTTCAACGCGAGGTAAAAATCAGAGCTGCCATTTTTAGCACCGAATATCCGCAATATGAAAATAATTTTAATTCTAAGTGTTAAATAACGTTTATACGTGTCTAACCGTTCGCTTAAAGAGACACGCAAGTCGTCGTTCGCTTCTCACGCATCGTTTACGTGTGCGCTTGCTCGCTTGCGTGCGTGCGTGCGTGCGTGCGTACGCCGCGTGTACGTGGCGAAGCCAATGGCCTGAACAGGTATGTGGGTGATGTCCGTTTTCTCAAGTATCGCATTTAGAGACGGAGACGGAAGATCGTTGGATTTGTCTGCCTTGGGTAAAGAGAGAGCCTCGTTCCCTCTCCGTCTCTCTTCGCCCGCACGATTTCCCCCTCGCCCGTCCACGTCTCGTTCTCTTCTCTCTTCTCGCTGGATGAACGTGGTCCCGCTATCCTTCTCGAGATCCCGTCGCGACGTGCCGAGTCTGCGGTGTCGAGCGGTTTAATGAAACGTCGAACGGAATCGAATATTTCTCAAGTTACTGGCCGTCCATTACTCCTCACTTCGACAAGCGTACGCGAAGCCGGGTATTCGCATGAATTCGCATGAATTAACCTTTCCGTCCGGACAGGTCGTGCGTAATTCTCCTCAAGCTTCGCTCCTCCATTTCCACGAAACGGCTCCTGATCCGCGACCTTAGCCTTTGCATCAATTATGCGGCGTTAATAGGTTCATTGAATGATCGAAGACTGCATCGAAGCAGCTACGTCGAGTTACCGCATTGAATCAACACAATGCAGCAGACATAAGACATTTTTTGGTTGGACTTTAACATTGTAAATATGGCAAATGTAACACCGAACATAAATACAGCTTAATTAAATTAGAAATAAATTTTAATAAAATATTCATTCAAATTACAATAAACGTTTTAATGGCGTTAACATAAACTTTTTCTCTTGCGTATATGTGTTCCATTTTTCTTTTTAAATAATAAATTATTTTTTGCATCAAATATATTGATATCAATTTAACAATTAATTAACTAATATTAAATAATAATAGTGAAAATATAATAATTAGTATATTATGATATTTTTATTATTTTATTATTTTTTACGAGATATAAGAATCATGAGCGCCTAACGGAAGATATCCAACTTGAAGAGAACGTTTGCATGGTTCCATATCATACAGGCGTATATATATATATATATATAAGAGGCGGTTTTCCATATTTCAGAGTCATTGTCCGTTCTCTAGTTGCCGAGGTTGACTTTACCAAAAAGCCGCCGTTATATTTTCTTGTGACTTGTCATATAAAAAGTGGTGCCGACGATAATTTAAATGACGCACGCTGGTATTTATCGATTTGTGTTGTTCTCTTTATTATGCATCTTTCAATGCTGTCGATGTCTTCCTGCCGATTTCCAGAATATTACAAGTAAGCATTATTATTACATATTGTTACATATATATTATTACATAAATGTGATATCTAAATTTTTTACACTAAAAATACGCATTACGGAAAAACATTACATTAAATTAATTTAAAATTTAAATTAACTTAATTAATTTTTTAATAATATCAGTATAAATCAATAGAAATATTTTTATGTTAAGTTAGAATAAATTATTAAATTTTTCAGCAAAAGAGAAAAACATTTTTGTGTTATAATTAAGTATATTAAATTTATTCGTGTGATAGCTCTTTTTATAACCGTAAGCATAATAAAGTTATTTTTAACAAATATTCATATTTTTTTAACATATGTATTAAATGCAAATACATCATCGTAATGAGCATAATAAATCGCGATTAAAAAAGGCAAATTGGTTCTCTTTCATTTTTAAAAGTTTCAGAAGATGAATTCTTTCAGCGGAAATAGTCAAATCGTGTTACGCTGATAATGTATCACTCACTGTATCATGTATCACTTCTTTATCCTCCGGTAGTAGTCCTCATTAATTTCGTTATGTCATACACAGATTTACTCAAACACGTATATATGCAACATGTTCATCGATGCATATGATATGTCCTATATTTCTCAGATCCGGCAGCAGTCGGAAGTTCGGAATGGGAAGCACGTCTTCAACATGCGGAATTACATAAATTTCTAGAAAATGTTCCGCGAGTTTCTCTTCGCAACAAGCGACTTGTTAATTTAGGTCCCGGAACTTTAAGTAAGCAGGTGCGTCATTGTGAACGTCGCCTAAT